TTGGCCAGTGGGGCTCGCGGCGGGATTTTCCGGGGCAGCGAGAGCGGTATGGAGGGGGAGCGAGAGGGGGTCAGGTTCCTAGCTGTGCTCCTCCGGTCTCCCTTTCTTCCCTGCAGCAGGGGAGGCTCGCTCCCCGGGGGTGGGTGACGGAGGATTTGTGGGCCCTTTGCGCCTGGGGGTCAGTGGGAGGAGTTTCGACGGGGAGGGAGGCCTTAGACCTGGACCCTCCTCTGTCCCATTCTCCCTTTCTCCTTGGGCTGCGGGGGTCCCTGCGGTTTCTGCGCCTGCCTCCCACGCACCCAGCCCGTGCTCACCTGCCTTCCCAGGGATGTGGAGCCCTCCTGGGAAGGGGAGGGCTGCGCTCAAGCCTTGGCGAGGTGGTTTTGGAAGGTCACTCTGGCGCGCGGCTCCCGCAGTTATCTACTCCTCCCTCCCCTTTCCAACTTCGGAATGGAGATGAGTTTGCTAGGCACTTGGATGGCCTGAGGAGTGAGTCCTTGCTTTCACTTCTGTTTGCTGAGTGTCTCCCCTGGTGCAGGGGGTTTCCTGGTTTCTCATTTCACCAGACTGCAACTAGCCGTAATTAAGACTGGAAAGATGGAGAGAGGGAGAGACAGACTGACTTTCTGTATATACCCCCACAAAGATAGGATCAAAGACCCGATGAGCACCATCTTTAATTTCGGTTTCCTGAAGGGGACAAAAAAGGAAGCATTGCTTTCCATAGTTGACAGTCACTTTGGGTTACTTGGGAAATGCTGGCGATGTGGGAAATACTTAAACCTTGCAACCACTGCTGGACAGAAGGATACTGCCTATTTGGGAGCCACTTGTTCTTGTAGTTGGTCGATGTCTGTTCTGTCTAATGGCTTTTTAAAGGTTCTGGGGTAGCTTGAAAATTGCAACAGTAAGATTTGATTAATTGCAATTTCAAAACTGTTGATTCCTATCGGTGAGTTAGAAACCAGTTTAGAAAATCTCGTCCATCGTTTTTAAAAAGATGAAATAAAAATTATCCGAGGGTGTTGCATTTAGTAAGAATATTGCTTCTTGACACTTGCTTTAGGTGTACACACGTGAGTGTATAAAGAGGTGTTGTACAATGTGTTTCCGTGTGACACAGTTAGAAAAGTCTGAAAAGCATTGATCTCCTGTACCCTGTTTGCCCTCTTGTCTTCCTTAGCTTGAGTTTCTTATGAGTTCAAATTGCCCAGAGGATGCAGTTAGTATACCAGGAATATACACTGAAAGACAGAGTGGTATCTTCCAAGAGGTTACTTCCTAGGAGAGAGAAAGTTCACTCTTAGTTCACTGGAAATACTGAAAAATGGATTTCGTTGAGGATAGGAGATAAATTGGCTTTTTTGGGAAAGGGCAGTTTTTCAACTGTGACACAAAGTTGGGTGGGGTGAAATTGCTTTTGTGAACTTTCTGGTGGCAGGAGTCTTTGTAAGCTTGGATTCTAAGAATTGTTTTGGGTAGGAGCAAGCAGTTGATGAAAAAGGATAGGCTGTGATTTTTTTCTTTCCTTTTTTTTTTTTTTTTTTAAAGGATTCTTCATTTTACCCTTAGACTTTTTGGATAAATATTTTGTGTGGAACTTTTTACATTTTTAACTTTATCATAATAAAACTAGTGTGACCAGTCTAGGGCGGTGTCTATAATCCCAGCGGCTGGAGAGTTCAAAGCTAGCTTCAGCAATGGCCAGGTACTAAGCAACTCAGTGAGACCCTGTCTTTAAATAAAATTACAAAATAGGGATGGTGGGGATATGGCTTAATGGTCGAATTCCCCTGAGTTCCAACCCTGGTACCAAAAAACAAACAAAAACCCCCAAAACTAATGTGACCCATTGTTTGCATGGATCAATCAAATTCACATTGGGGCCAAAGAACACATTTAGAATACTTGAAAATGGAAATGGGGGGCATAGTTATCTGGTTTTGGGCCTCCAAGATCACTGGAAGACATTTCTTAAATATTATTTTTAAAAATTATAAAGTTATGAATCTGAACATATGGTTGGTTGATTCCTGAGCTATTCCTACCTATCCCTAGTTAGGTTCACCTATTAAGGAGTATATGGACCATTAGGTGACTCTTTCTAGTTAGAAGATGGGAAGCATTTCAGCAAGCCTGATAAGAATTGAGTTAGGTGCATTGTAGAATCCATAAAGAAACAGTCTGTTTCTCAGGAGTAATTTAGAATCTCCTCAGCTCCTAGAATCTTAGAGGATGCAAAGGTCCTTTAAAACCTATTTTGCTCCACTCCTGTCCTCATTATTGTGATATTTGGATAGATTTTTTTTTCTTTTTTTTTTGGTACTGAGGGTTGAACCCAGAGGCCCGTTACCTTTGAGCTACATTCCCAGCACTTTTTTTTTTTTTTTTTTTACTTTGAGACAGGATCTCACTCGCTAAGTTGCTGAGGCTGGCTTTGAACTTGTGATCCTCCTGCCTCAGCCTCCCAAGCTGCTGGCATTACAGGCACCGTTGTACCTGGTTGTATTTTTCTATTGTTTGTGTTAGTTGGGTAATTCTTACAGCTTGGGGTGGAGGGGCTTGGGAGTGTCACTCAAAGTCAGGTTATGATTTAACCTTCCATTTCAGAGGCTGATGGTTGTTTGGGTTGTTGCTCACCCTGGTATGATTTTATAGGTATGTTAACAATGACAACCAGTATGCAAGAGAGGACTGAGATTCAGGTCTCAGCTTTGTTGTTCTCTGGGTTAGGTAATATGCTGAATATTAAGAAAGATGCAGGTAGCTTATTATTCACTAGGGAAATATGGGAAAGAGTAGGAAAGTCCCTGTCAAATACTTAAAAATTATTTATGTCTTTATGAAGGAGAAGAAACACTTTTCCATGCCCACTCTAAGCTGTACTCCCCGCCTACACCCCTGTTCCTAGGCATTGAATCCAGGGGCACTTTATCACTGATCTTTCATACCCAGCCCATTTTATTTTGAGACAGCTCTGCTAAGTTGCTCACACTAGTCTCAAACTTTTTGATCCTCCTGCCTCAGCCTCCTGCGTAGCTGGAATTACAGGTGTGCGCCACTATACCTGGCTCACCCTAAGCTAAAAACCATGGTGCTTCCCCAAAATCAAGGATGAGGCTGCTCTTCCTGTTTAGGGTCTGGGAAACAAACTGCTTATCCTGCAGACCTGGTCCTACTGGGTAGTTCCCAGGGATTTCCCAATTGATCCTTTATGGGAGTGAAGGAGAAGCACTTGCCTCTTTGCTCTTCCTAATAACCTCTACTTGACAGGGTCAGGTTGACTTGGAGAATTGTTGCCCCTGCTCCTACTGGGGATTGAGCCCAGGGGTGCTGTACCACTGAGCACTATCTCAGCTTTTTAAAATTTTTTATTTTGAGACAGGTCTGGCTGTGTTGTCTGGGCTGACCTCAAACTTGTGAGCCTCCTGCCTCAGCCTGCCAAGTAGTTGGGATTGCATGGGATTATGGGTTTGTGCTTCCATGCCCTTGCTAGACCTAGAAAAGTGATTCTTAGGCCACAGACTTAATGGGAGAGGAGGGGAAGCCTGGGCGAAGGGAGATGCTTTTCATCAGCAGCTTTTCCTCTTTGGTTTTAGGTACCCCCAGTCCTATACACCCCAGGCTTTGGCTTTTCCTCACTGTCCTCCTCCTCTCCTGACATCTCCACAAACCTGGCTCTTTGCCACTGACCAGTGTAGGTACTAACAGAGAATATGTGTGCGATTAAATAGACTTAACTTTGCCTTGTGCATTTTTTCCTGAGTTTGACTACACCAAGAGCAATACAAATATATTTCTGAATTATATTTGTTTGCCCATCTGTGAGTCAGGGATAGGAGGGGGACAAAGGTAGACTAGATTAAATTTACACATTAAAAGTCAGCTTGAATGAGTGAGAATTGATAGATGAATCTAAGACCACTGCTTTACTTTTGTAACAAGGTGGGACACAAGTTAAACAAATATAAGACAGAAACTTTGGGCCTGTTCATCCTTTGTGGATCAAGTTGAGAAATGTGACTTTTAATTTTTTTTTTCTTTGCAGTTCTGGGGATTGAACCTAGAGCTTTGTATAGGCCAGGCAAGTGTTTTACCACTAAGCCACATCCCCAGCCCGAGAAATGGGATTTTCTTAGTGGCATCTGTGGTAGAAATTTCCCTTTTGCTTTTTAAGGATGCTTTGCTTATTGGTAGTGGTGATTGACAGGTGATTCTGAATCAGCTGGCTGTGCTGGGTATAGCATGGATACTTACTGAAGAAGCAGCTTTAAAAAAATTTTTTTTTTTTTAGTTATAGGTGGACACAATACCTTTATTTTATTTTTATGTGGTGCTGAGGACTGAACCCAGTGCCCTACACATGCTAGGCAAGCACTCAACCACTGAGCCACAACCCCAGCCCCCAAGAGGCAGCTTTTTATTGTCTGATTTTTAAAGTTGTGCAGCAGTTTTTTTTTTTTTTTTTGGTACCAGGTATCTGAGCCCTTTTTATTTTGTGAAAAGCTCTCATTAAGTTGTTTAGGCCCTTGCTAAATTGCTGAGGCTGACCTTGAATTTGTGATCTTCCTGCCTCAGCCTCCTGAGTCCAGGATTACAGGTGTGTGCTACCTTGCCCAGTTTGTGTGGCAGCTTTGACAAAGGAGTGCCCACCTTGTGTGTGTTGGATTTTAGGTGAAGTCTGCTAGAGGTTAAGCAGCATCTTAGGTGTGCCATTGTTGTGCAGGGTGTGATAGAAACAGCCTTGGGTTCTGGTCTGGACTTTGTTGCCTTCTAACCTGGGATGAGTTAGCAAGTGTTTCTGACTTTGTTTCTTCATCTGTAAAATGACACTTACCTGCCCTGAGCCCTCATAGCTAGTCCAAGTCCTTAGTCTGTTCAACCTCACAAGACTGTTGCTTTCTGTGTCTTTGTGTTTTCATTGGGTGCTTAGGAATGAAATCATCAAAGAAAATGATCTGGGTGAGAATACTTTGGGAATTGCAGCATGTTACAGTTGTGTGAAGTTAAACACACACATTCATCTTTCTGAAAGGGAATTTTTTAATAGCCAAATAGAAATGAATCTCTAAGTATCAGTAGAAGTATTTATTAGTCCAGGACGATTGGGAGAACCCTGCCAAGATCAAAGTATCAAACCTGCATGATGGGTGAAGCATCTTGAGAGTTCCTCCTTTTTTTAATTTTTTTTTTTTTAAATATTGGGAATTGAACCCAAGGATGCTGTACCACTGAGTTACATCCCCATCCCCGGCTTTTTTTTTTTTTTTGACATATGGTCTTGCTAAGTTGCCAGGGCTGGCTTCAAACTTGGGATCCTCCTGCCTCAGCCTCCCAAGGCATTGGGATTACAGGCCTGTGCCAGCGCACCCGCCTGAGAGTTCCTTTATTTGATTCTTCAAAGCTGCCAGGCTGTTGCCTTTCCCTGCTTTGATGAAGAAGGACATTCACAAGCTCACACTAGCAGTTTGTTCTTTTTGTGGCTGGGC